TTTCTGGTTTTGTTTTGTTTGCTTGGTTTGTATTTCTTGTTTTTGTTTGGTTATTGATTTTCTTTCCTTTTTTTCCTTTCCTTAAGTTTTCTTCTTTTTTCCTGTTTGCTTCCTCTCTTTTATTTATTTTTTTCTTTCTCATTCTGTTTGTTTCTCTCATTCTTATGTTTTTTTCTTCTCCACTCTGTCCTTCCGTCCGTCTTTCTTGTTCTACCTTATTCTCTCATTTTATTTGTCTCTCTCATTCTCTCCCTCTATTCTTCTAACCATTTTTCTCGCTTTCTCACTTCCATCTTTTTTTCTCTCCTACTCTCTTCCTTCCTTTCCCCTCTTTTTACCACTTCTTCTCTATCTCTCTCTTTCCTTATTCCATCCCTCTCTCATCCTCTTATTTTATTCTTCTGTTCATCTTCTTCGCGCACCTTATCCCTCCTTTATCATCATTTTATTCCTTCCATCCGTCTCTTATCCTCCTCTCTTCTTTTCCATTTAACTTTCTCTCTCTCTCTCTCTCTCTCTCTCTCTCTCTCTCTCTCTCTCTCTCTCTCTCTCTCTCTCTCTCTCTCTCTCTCTCTCTCTCTTTCTGTCTGTCTCCTTTGCTTCCTTCCTACCCTCCATCCCTATGTCTTTCTCTCCCTTCCGTCCTCTATCCCTCTCTCATTCTCTCTCTTCTTTCCTCTATCCACCCATCCTCCTCCTTTATCCACCTATCCTCTTCCTCTCTTCCGTCTATCATCTATCCCCCCCCCCCCCCACTCTTCGTTCTTGTTGTTACCGTGGCTTCCGCTGGACGAAATTAATCATCAATTTGTCTATTTCCCTCGTTCGTCGCCATATATAATTGCCTCTTGGGTACAAAGACATGCCGCCGTTTTTTGTTCAATGATGATTTCTTTTTTTTTTTCAAGGGGAGTCTCTTTTATTTCATTGTTTTTCTTTCTTTTTATTTTTTATTTCTATTTTATTATTATTATTTTTTTTTTTTAACTTGTATTCTGATTTTATGACGGACTTTATGGCCTCGAAGTTTGTCTGGAAGGAAATTAGCTGTTTTGCTCAATTATTTGTCTTTTTGTATGAGAGAGAGAGAGAGAGAGAGAGAGAGAGAGAGAGAGAGAGAGAGAGAGAGAGAGAGAGAGAGAGAGAGAGAGAAAGAGAGAGACAGAGAGATAGAGAGAGTATGATAGACAAAGTGATATATATACATATATAGAGAGGGACAGAGATAGATAGACAGACAGCTAGATAACCAGGCCCACACACGCACACACATACATACATACAAACCTACACAGACAGATATATAGACATTTACATTTGCAGATATAAAAAAAAAATCTACCACATTTATAATTCTGATGATATACATAAGTTCCTCATAAACGATGTAAATACAAGCACTTTTTTTTTCTTTTTTATTGCACTCCAATCATCCATTATGATTCTCTCTTCACAAGATGTAACAGTCCGGAAAAATCACCGGAAGTTGTAGGTTTGTGACGAAAATTACCAGTATTATCCGTTCAATTGGGTAACCGGGGCAGGTTTTCCATGTACACGGACAGTCAGTTTATCAACACACATACACAGTGTGCGTGCGTGTATGTGCGTGTGTGTGTGTGTGCCGTGCGCGCACACATGCATATACATGCATATGTACACACATTTTTCTTCTTCATGCATGCATAATCAGGCGGATTTATGCACGCAAACACACACGTGCGAACACACGCACACATACATACACATATACAGACACACACACATACAGGATAACTTTAAATAAAACTGACCTCAGTTTTTTTTTATTTGTATTTTTCTACACAAACATTTACAAAATTTACATGTATCGCTGTACATATACCGGAAGAGATCAAGAGGGAAACTTAGAAGGGAAATATGTGTACATAAACTTACACTGTGTACATTTATGACGTACACAGTGAGTAAACACGATGTACATTGTGAAACAAACAAAATATATATTTATATATAATTTAGAATTTTTTAACTGTTGGGACGTAATGTTGGTTAATTTATATATTTGTGGATAGAAATGATAAGACATATATATAAAAAAAAAAAAATCAAAAGATATTTGACGGAGAGTAAAAGTGATTCTTAGTTGAAAGAAATATATAAGTAAACAAGAATGAGAATACGTATAGGTAACTGCTAAAATTAATAATAATGATAATATAATAAAATAAAGAACAAGGGTAATGATCGGATAATACGAAAATTTAAGAAATTTAAAACAAAAAACGGCAAAACCAACGAAATATTAGCTTTTGGACAACGTGCACGACAATGACATCATTCCTAGCATCCAATCAGAATCAAGCAGAAGCAACGCCTTGGTGTGACGTCACAGTTTTACCCACCAATCATGAACGAGATTCCGGAAACACAAAAAATATAGTTATTTTTCACTTATATTTTATCTTTTTTTTCTGTTTAATATGCAACTGTATTGAAATTAGGATACAATATGATAAAATACACATCATGACTGGCTTGCTATTCTCTGTGACGTTTTAAAATTCATTATTGTAAGCGGGTTTCATCAGTGTTAGTCGCCGATAGACGAATTTTAGACGCATGTCTGGAATTACACTAAATAATCATTATTTTTCCATGAATTATATAAAGATGATAATGACCACAACTCTACATGTGTCTTTTTTTAACCCATTCTTCAAAATTCCCGTAAATTTAACCCAAATCATTAATATTCATAATTAATATTCATAATATTATTACTTATTTTTTTGACACGCGTCCAACTTTCGCATCGGCACATTAGCGAAAAAAAATAAAATGATAATGACAATGAAAATGAAATTCAAAACTTAAACATTAAATGTAAAAAGCGTTTTAGTAAACTTGTTAAAATGTAACCTGTTAATATCATAGCGTTGAATGTATAACTATAGTTAAATCTAATGGGGTAAGGGGGATGGGGGGGCCGAGGAGGGGGGGTAGGGGATAGAGAGAGGGGATGGGGGGGGGAGGTTAAATTAGCACGACTACCAGTACTGGCATTTGACGTGATGGTGTTAGTTATTTATTGTTTACAAGTACGTATTGACATAAAAATATAGTTATATATATATGGGATCAAGTTTGTTATCAACAATTTACTTGATAAAGGCCTTTGACACGGTCGCACCAGTTGGTAGCCCTGCCGTCATTTTGCGCAGTGGCATTTCTCATATCATACGACAGCAGTAAGCTCAGTTTTATTTTAATCATATCATTTGAGAAGCTTATATTAGCTGTAGCAATCGATATACATGATATAATAACTTGCAACAAAAGCAAATACATACTGAATTGCACCGAACAATAAAACCAAACACATATTGCAACAGTTGGCAACACTGCCACAATCCGGAACAGTTGGCACGCCTGACATCAAGCTGAAACTTGGCCAGACAATTCTAGTTTACGTAAAGTCTCAATTGCACTAATAATAAATCGAACCAAATCTGTTAAATACTAGACAATTACTTTCTTTTAAGTACTAAAAACAAATAATTCTTATTTAAGTAGTTAGCTAGACACCATTAGGATTTTTAAAAGAATAAAAACATATCACCTCATTAACATAAGTAATAAATTGAGTCTTTGCGAATCACATTTAAATTAATATGTATTGCATGCCTAAACAACCTTCATCTGCAACCTTCCTCTTTTCTTGTTATTTTTCTCCTTTCTTTCCTCTTTTCTTGTTATTTTTCTCCTTTCTTTCCTCTTTTCTTGTTATTTTTCTCCTTCTTTCTCTTCTTCTTCTTTCTTCTTTTTCTTTTCTTCTTTCTTCTTTCTTCTTTTTCTCCTTTCTTTCCTCTTTTCTTGTTATTTTTCTCCTTTCTTTCCTCTTTTCTTGTTATTTTTCTCCTTTCTTTCCTCTTTTCTTGTTATTTTTCTCCTTTCTTTCCTCTTTTCTTGTTATTTTTCTCCTTCTTTCTCTTCTTCTTCTTTCTTCTTTTTCTTTTTTCTTTTCTTCTTTCTTTTCTTCTTTTTCTTTTCTTTCTTCTTTCTCTTCTTCTTCTTTCTTCTTTCTTCTTTTTCTTCTTTCTTCTTTTTCTTCTTTTTCTTTCTTCTTCTTTCTTTTCTTCTTTCTTCTTTCTTTTCTTCTTTTTCTTTCTTCTTTCTTTTCTTCTTGGTCTTTCTTCTTTCTTCTTTTTTCTTCTTTTTCTTTTCTTCTTTTTCTTTTTTCTTTTCTTTTTCTTTTCTTCTTTCTTCTTTTTCTTTTTCTTTTTTCTTCTTTTTCTTTTCTTCTTTCTTCTTCTTTCTTTTCTTCTTTTTCTTTTCTTTCTTCTTTTTCTTTTTTCTTTTCTTCTTTCTTCTTCTTTCTTCTTCTTTCTTTTCTTCTTTTTCTTTTCTTCTTTCTCTTCTTATTCTTCCTTTCTCCCTTTATATCGCCTTCTTCTCTTTCCTTCTTTTACACACACATTCTTCCTATCATTCTTCTCTTCTGCTTCTTCTTTTCGTCTTCGTCTCCTTTTATTATTCATTTCCTCTATTTACTCTCCTTATTTTTTCTTCTTCTTTTTCTTCTTCTTTTTCTTCTTCTTTCTTCTTCTTTCTTCTTTCTTCTTCTTTCTTCTTTCTTTTCTTCTTTTTCTTTTCTTTCTTGTTTTTCTTTTTTCTTCTTCTTTCTTCTTCTTTCTTTTCTTCTTTTTCTTTTCTTTCTTCTTTCTTCTTTCTTCTTTTTCTTTTCTTCTTTCTTCTTCTTCCTTTTTTCTTTTTTCTTCTTCTTTCTTTTCTTCTTTCTTTTCTTCTTTCTTCTTTTTTCTTTTCTTCTTTTTCTTTTTTTCTTTTCTTCTTTCTTCTTCTTTCTTCTTTCTTCTTCTTTCTTTTCTTCTCTCTTCTTCTTTCTTCTTTCTTTTGTTCTCTCTTCTTTTTCTTCTTCTTTTTCTTCTTTCTTCTTTTTCTTTTCTTTCTTCTTTCTCTTCTTCTTCTTTCTTCTTTTTCTTTTCTTTCTTCTTTCTCTTCTTCTTCTTCTTCTTGCTCTTTTCTCCTTACTACTTTCTCTTTTCTCCTTTCTTTACTCTTTTCTTGTTATTTTTCTCCTTCTTTCTCTTCTTATTCTTCCTTTCTCCCTTTATATCGCCTTCTTCTCTTTCCTTCTTTTACACACACATTCTTCCTATTATTCTTCTATTCTGCTTCTTTCTTTCGTCTTCGTCTCCTTTTATTATTCATTTCCTCTATTTACTCTCCTTATTTTTTCTTCTTCCTTCCTTCCTTACTTGGCCGTGGAAGCAGCTGCAAAGGGCTGGAAGAAGGAAGAGGAAGAAAATGGGTAATAAAGACAGTAAATGGGATAATATGAATGTATAATAGTGATGATGATGATTATAATAATAATGATAGTGATACTAATCATATCAGTGATAATTATACTAATGATGATGTTTACAATACTATGATAATATAGTACTATGATAATAATGATGATGATGATAATAATAATAATAATAATAATAATAATAATAATAATAATGATAATGATATTTATAATAATAAAAACAGTACTATGATAATATAGTACTATAATAATGATGATGATAATAATAATAATAATAATAATAATAATAATAATAATAATAATAATAATTATAATGATATTTATAATAATAAAAACAGTACTATGATAATATAGTACTATAATAATAATGATGATGATGATAATAATAATAATAATAATAATTATTATTATTATTATTATTATTATAATAAAAACAGCTACAGCAAATATCTCAATAATAATAACAACAACAATAATAATAATAATAATGATTATAATAATTATAATAATGATATCAATAACAATAAAAATACTTTTATCATTATTATTACTACTACTACTTGTAAAAATAAGGATAACAATAACAATAATAATACTAATTATTATTATTATTATCATTATTATTATTATTATTATTACTATAACAAATTACCTTGAATTCGCTCGTTTGAACGTAAATTACACGAATGCGATGCTTGAGCCATGGTTTCAGCGTTGATGGGAGTTAATAATCATTGATTACCTGCACACGTATGCAATAATATAATACGAATAATAGATTTGCAAAATTTAACTGAATTGCAGATGCTGTTCCGGTTGATACGCAAGTGACAAGACATCATCTTAATCCGAAGTCCGGGCTCCGTCATCGCATTCGGATGATTGGCGATACCGGCGGCCACCCTTACTCAAAAACTTTACCTTGAAAGGTCTCTGCTTGTCCTCGAACTCACGCAGCTTGGCCTTGTACTTCTCCAACTCGTCCCTCAAGATGGCGTCCTCGAGCCTGGCCGCGTCTTCGTCGAACTCGAGGCAGCCGACGCCGTCCAGCCGCTCGAGGTCCAGGCAGCCGCGCCACCTCACGCACACGCCGTTCATGATGAAGTGGGACTTGATGTGTACCTGGAGGAGGAGGAGGGGTAGGGGGGTTAGATGTCGTTTGGGTGAAGCTTTGGGATCGTAGTGTGTGTGTGGGGGTGTGTGTGTGTGTGTGTGTGTGTGTGTGTGTGTGTGTGTGTGTGTGTGTGTGTGTGTGTGTGTGTGTGTGTGTGTGTGTGTGTGTGTGTGTGTGTGTGTTAAGTTGTACGATTGTTTACGTTGGTCTGTGTCTGTAACCACGAACATATATATATATATATATATATATATATATATATATATATATATATATATATATATATATATATATATATATATACATATACATACATACATATATCTATATCAATATATCTCTCCATCTATCTATCTATAAATATATATGCTTACTCAGAGGGTGGAACAGAGAGATAAGGAAAAAAAGAAGGAAGAGCGCGATAGAGAGAATAAAGAAAGACCGAACGAGTGCCGAAAACGAGAGAAATTGTACGCCAACATAAGTCCAACGTCAACAAGAAACGACCCAAACAGTCTCTCCCACGCACCTTCATATACGTCGCCATAAAACAGAAGTATTATACAATAAAACTGCACAGAAAGCATCTCACATAATTCACCTTTTTGATTATGACATAAATATTTAATAATCAGCAGAGAAAAGGGAAGAAAAAGCAGCATAAACGTTTTTTTTTTTTTTTTAAACACTAATTCAAAAGAGAATTGTGGGTTATATCTATGAGTTTTACGCGGGTTTTTAGCCTCTAATTCCCGATGCAAATTATAGATATCAAGATTTAAATTTGATTTAATGGTATTCGTGTTGAAACAGACTTGGGGGGAGAGGGCGGGGGGGGGGGGGGGGGAAGAGGGAGTTATCCTGAGCAAGTTTTGTCCTAATGAGATTTTAAAGCTCCGTTGAATTCACGAACACGTTCCAATTAAATTCTACGCCGTCGGTCGAAGCCGTGGCCAGACGCTCTCGAACTCGTGAGGAATATTATCCCGTCGACAGAAGAGAAGAAATATCTAAAATCGTTCTAAAAACTGATATCAAATCTACTTCCGAATAATCTTCCTATACGTGA